CCACAGAATGTGGAAATTATAGAAAGATGTTTACCTGTGTTTTATTTACTATGCAAAGGTGTTGAACTGTGTTGATCATTACAGGTTATGGATAACATTATGCAAAAGCATTCAATTGTGTGGATCATAAATTTAGGATAATACTGCGAATTATGATACTCGTGCAGAACCTGTACATAGACCAAGGGGTAGTCATTTGAGCAGAACAAGGGAATACTGCATGACTTAAAATCAGGAAAGGTGTGTGTCAGGGGAGTGTCCTTTTACCATACTTATTCAATGTGTATGTTGAGCAGATATTCTTAGACACTGGACTATATGACAAAGAACATGGCATCAGAATTGGAGGAAGACTCACTAACAACCTTTTATGTGCAGATGTCACAACCTTGCTCATTGAAAATGAAGAAGATTTTAAACACAAAAGTCTTCACAACTGGACTAATAAGGAACATCATGTTTATCACAGAAAATAGTGTAATTGTCAAGAATTTAATTTCACTTGGATCCATAGTCAGTGCCCATGAAAGCAGTAGTTAAGAATCCAGTGATGTATTGGATTGGGGAAATGTGCTCCAAAGGACCTCTTAAAAATATTAAAAAGTGAAGATGTAATTTTCAGGACCAAGTGTGCCTAACCTAAGCCATAGTATTTTCAGTTGCCTTGTATGCCTGCTAAATCTGGACAGTAAATAAGGAAGATTGACAAAGAATTGATGCCTTTTAATTATGGTGTTGGTAAAGCATATTGAATCTACCATGGAGTGCCAGAAGAACAAAAACAGTCTGTCCTGGAAGAAGTACAGCTGGAATGATCCTTAGAAACGACGATGGCGAGAATGTCTCATGTCGTTTGGACACGTTTTTGGGAAGAATCAGTCCTTGGTGAAGCATATTATGCATGGTAACTAGAGGTCAGTGATCAAGAGGAAAACCCTCATTGAGATGAGTTGACACAAGAGCTCCAACAATGGGCTCAAACAACAATGATTGTGAGGGTGGCAGTGCTGGGCAGTGTTTCATTTTGTTTTACATAGTTTCTCTGTGAGTCAGAACTGATAGCACCTTACAATAATAGTTGACCAGATTGCTTACATATTTGGCTGATGAAATTTGAGATTGCCTGGCACAGTACAGCTTTTTGTGGGGTAATGGGAAGAGTATGAAACCCATTCTCTCTTTTCTTGACCCTTGGCTTATAAATTTCTCTGATGAAGATGATTCCAGAATGATCTGTGGTACATTCATTCCTAGCTATGATGTACATTAATGCAAATTGATTCCCAGTTTGTCTCTTCGTTTTATTTGTTAGGTTTTTAGAGGTATACCAAAACCAAATCAAACTCACTGCCATCGAGTTGATTCCAATTCATAGAGTCCCTCTTTGGGTTTCTAAGGCAGTACATCTTTACTGAAGTAGATTGCTCAGTCTTCTTTCCGCAGAGTGACTGGTGGGTTTGAACTGCCAGCCTTCTGGTTAGCAGTCAATGCCTTAATCACTATGCCACCAGAGCACCTTTTTAGAGGTTTAGAAGCTTTTAATTTTTGTATTCATTTCCTGCTATGTTTTCCTATTTTCTTCCTTGCTTTAATCAAAGACTATGCTGAGAGGTTCTGTCTTTTGCTGTTTAATGGGAATGATGCAGCTTAGTTGCCCTCTACAGTGTGTCGTTTTCGGTGTGATTTAAAATGGGTCTGTATGTTGCTTTTTAAGGAGCTCTGGTGGTGTAGTGGTTAAGGCATTTGGCTGCTAACCAATAAATCTGTGATTTGAATGTACCACATACTCTGTGGAAAAAGATGAGTCAGTCTGCTTCCTTAAAGATTTACAGTCTTATAAACCCAATGGAGGTCACTATGAGAATTGACTCAATAGCAGTGAGTTTGGTTTCATTTTAGTTACATATTTCTTTTACATTGAAAAAGTAAGACTGGAGTTTGTCCCCCAGTTTAATTGGCTAGTTAGGAATAAGTTCAGTTGCTAATTGAAAAGTCAGTTGTTCAAACCCACTAACTCTTCTGTGGGTTGTGGCTGTGTGGTTCTGTAAAGATTATAGCCTTAGAAACCCTATAGGACGGTTCTACCTTGTCCTATAGGGTTGCTATGGGTTGAAATCAACATGGTAGTAGGTTGGTTGTTTTTGTTGTTGTTGTTAAGTAGAGCTTGCTTTCAGTTTCAGTAGTTAACTTTGACAGACAGTAATAGTTCCATTTGTACTTTATAACTTATTTGTAATTGAGTCATCAAAAGTTATCCTTATGATAATGCCATACAGTTAAATTTATTTTCATAAAAGGTTATGAAACAAAATAATTTAACTGTGTTGAGTAAATACAGTGTTCTTTCTTTCAAATTTTAACAGGGTTTTATAATGAATTCAACACGAGTTGTAGCTAATAATTCTTCACAATTACTGTTTGACTTGACCCAAGACACAGGATTACCACATTACCAAGGGGGAGCAACACTTTCTATAACAGGTTGGTTTTAGTAGTTTGTACAAAAATTAGAAAAAGAAATTTTATGAAGATACAGATAGAATTGACTTTCTGTTTTGAAGCCTATAACCTCACCTTAAGTTTTTCATATTTTGTGTAGTGGAATGGTGCTCATAGTTCTTGAATGCCTTTCTTGGGTCATTTTATAGAAGATATTATTTAATAATACCTATTTTATTTCTATTAAGTAATCTAATAGGCTTAGAATTTGTTGTCAATTTGAACCTATCCATGAATTGAAAAATTTTAATAAGGTTTTTGTAAGTGAAATTATCCTCTGATCCCCTACCACAGCCACCACCAAAAAAAAAAGGTACTCGTTTCTATGGCCACTAGTGTGAAAAAATATATAATTATAGATTTCTTAATTATGTTAGCATCTTTCTATTCCCAAAAAAATGAGTTAGATAGGATAGTTGATTCTGTTTATAGAAGACTGCTACAGAATAGCAGCACTAAAGAAATAATGATTTGTTCATAGTAAATACTCAGCAAATGCCCTTTGAAGAAATAATAAAATTTCTCTGTAGAAAAGTCAGGTTTCTCTGTAACAAAGTTCTTTATTAACCTAAAATAAATTAGTTTGCTATGAAAGAATTTCATGTAATCGAAGATTCCTTCTAATCAAGGCAACAGGCAATTTACTCTTTATATACTATATTTGATACTGTTCACACACTTGACTAAATAGTGTTACATTTGATTTTTTGGAATTTTTTGATTGTTTTAATAAGTGTGGTGAACTTACCAACTCTTTCTCAAATTTTTTTTTTATACTACTTTTAGTATAAAATGTTTTTCCAGTTTAGTAATTTTTGTGATTTTTGATATTCACTTCTCTGGGTGTCACTTACATAGTTAAAGGCAAGAACCAAAAGAAATTAGGAGAGAAAGTGGTGGTTTTAAATCTGGTTTTACAAAGCACGTGAACTTTTTTCATAGAAAAAGTGGGAATTTTTGAAGTTTATTAGGGTAGAGAACAATGACTCCTACTTTCCGTCTAAATTTTATATGGCAGAATGGGATTAGCCTGAGCAGTAAAAAGAGTTATAATTCATTTGGATGATGTAGGTTTGCACTCTATTAAGAGTTTTATTGTTGTTGTTGTTGTTATGTGCCGTCAAGTCGGCCCCGACTCATAGCGACCCCTCCTTGGGTTTCCGAGACAGTATCACTACGGAAGTAGGATTGCCCAACCTTCCTTCCGAGGAGTGGCTGGTGGGTTTGAACCGCCAGCCTTCTGGTTAGCAGTCAAGTGCTTTAGCCACTATGCTACCAGAGCTCTAGCCTTTATCAAATCACCACCTAACCTCTGTACACTTTAATTTTCTCATATTATTAGATGGAAGACTTTAATTTTTCTTATATAATGCATTCATTTTCCAGAATTAGAATTAGTCATTGGATTTATAATTTTAATTCTTGGTCTACAGGTAGTCCCTGATTTAATAATGTATTTGAGTTACAACAAAACTCACAATCATCTATTTTTTTAAGTATGCATGTATGTATTAAAGTAGATCTGTAAGTTTATTTGTAATGTTTCTAATTCCCAAAGAAAAATAAAGGTCCAATTATATTATAAAGGTAGTGATAATAAAAGGCAATAATAATGAAAACTAAAAGAAAACAAAACAAAACAAAAAAGAGATATTTGGCATAAGTCAGTGACCACTACTTATAACTTACTCAAGACTTTTTTGAGGCCCAAATAAAATAGTGAAATGTGAAAATGCATTACAAGCTTTAAAGGATGTGACAATAAACACTTGTTATAAATAATAATTAGAAATGAAATTATATATTATGTATTCAGTAGCATGATTATTTGAATCCCATCTAGGGTAATCGTGGGAAACTTTTGGAGAAGATTGGATTTAAGCTTGATGTTGAATGAGAATGGGATTTTTATAAACAGAACTGCTGAGGGTAGGGAACTTCACAAGTCAAAGACAATAATGATATATAAGTTTAAGGCTGAATTTAAAACTATTAAATGTAGAATGATTTTTTTTAAGTTTGTGATTTTAAAAGTTTGTCCAGCTGATATGTAATCATTCGCTTAACCCAAAATACCAGCACTCATTTATTTTTCAAGTAACCTAAGCATCTTAGTAAAATGTTAATGTGATTATATAAAATCTTTCCCAAGTGCCTATAGTGTAGATATCTTTAATCATTTTCTTTGAAGATGTTGTTGATGTTGTTATGTGCCATCAAGTTGTCTCTGATTCATAGTGACTCTTCTTGGGTTTCCAAGGCAGTATCTCTACAGAAGTAGATTGCCTAATCTTCCTTCTGAGTAATGACTGGTGGGTTTGAACCGCCAGCCTTCTGCTTAGCAGTCAAATGCCTTAGGCACTATGCCACTAGAGTGCCCTTTCTTTGAAGATGGAAGTCATTTTTATGTTATCTCAAAAGATTGAAATAAATTTAACAGAGGAGCCAACTAGTATAATACTATTATGTTCCAAGAATGTTTCCCCGTATTAAAAAGCTAATAGGTGACACTATTGGAGTAGGTTTTTTCCCTCTAAAATAAGCTAAGATATAAAATATTTTGTTAGTAATGATAAGAGCTGTCATTTATTATTGAGTGCTTCCTGTGTGCCAGATGTTGTGTTAGGTTAGGTACTTTAAATTCGTTATTTTATTTGATCCTTAAAACAACATTGTTGTTGTTGTTGTTGTTATGTGCCGTCGAGTCAGCCCCGACTCATAGCGACCCCTCCTTGGGTTTCCGAGGCAGTATCACTACGGAAGTAGGATTGCCCAACCTTCCTTCCGAGGAGTGGCTGGTGGGTTTGAACTGCCAGCCGTCTGGTTAGCAGGCAAGTGTCTTAGCCACTATGCTACCAGAGCTCCCAACAACATTGTAAAATAAGGTATTATAATTCTTATTTTACAAACAGGAATTCTTAGGCTTATAAAAGTTAATTAAATTAGCCAAGAATACACAGATAGTGAATGACAGAACCTGATTTGAACTTACGTTATCTGATTTAACAGCCTAGAATAATTCTAATATATTCACTCTCCCACTTCTGTTAGTGTACAGTTGGAAGCATTACAATTATGTTCAGATGTTTTAGAATAGAAACACAATTTGTGTTATTTTCAAAGCTGGCTTTTGCTGACCTGATGTTGTTGTTGTTGTTATATGCCATTGAGTGAGACCCGACTCAAAGCGACCCCTCCTTGGGTTTCTGAGGCAGTATCACTATGGAAGTAGATTGCCCCATCTTCCTTCCAAGAAGTGGCTGTTGGGTTTGAACCGCCAGCCTTCTGGTTAGCAGTCAAGTGCCTTAGGCACTACGCTACCAGAGCTCCTTTGCTGACCTGATATTAGCCTAAATACCTATTTTTTCTTGCTAATGCTCCAAATTATGTAGTCTTTTTAGGCTTAAGGAATGGTTTTCAAAATGAATACTATTTTTAGCAGTGAAATCCCTATTCAAACAAAATTTAGTAAATGAAATCTAATAAATAAAATGTAAGAGGAGAACTTCTTTGCTGGACATGCCCAATATATTCCCTGAAATAACCCATTAGATTTTAGGGAATATAGTTTAACACAATTATACTATTTCTTTCCTTTAAGAACCCTTTTGTATGAATGTGATATTGTCATTCAAGATTACTTTTTTCTAATTTGCCGTCAGGAATTAATAGGTAGTTTAACCTAAAGCAGTGACTAGACCACCTCTTAGTTTGTTAGGTAGGAAAAGAACTAACTTAACATTGTTGTTGTTATGTGCCGTCGAGTCGGCCCTGACTCATAGCGACCCCTCCTTGGGTTTCCGAGGCAGTATCACTATGGAAGTAGGATTGCCCGGCCTTCCTTCCGAGGAGTGGCTGGTGGGTTTGAACCGCCAGCCTTCTGGTTAGCAGTCAAGTGCTTTAGCTACTATGCTACCAGAGCTCCTTACATTAGATGTTTTAAAGTGTTGATAAAAGGTATCTTAAGGGTCTCAAAACAAATAAAAAGTGTGTTGTGTTTGTCAACTTAAATGCATTTAATCATCTAAAGATAACTCATTTTAGTAATTTAAGCCATAGTGTTCTCTGTGGTTTAATTTTTCTTTTCTTTTTTTTTTTTCCTTGGAATATTTTGATCTGACTTCTTTCAAGGTAGCTATTTATATTATTCTGTATTTGATGTCATATTTAGAATTTGTTCACATATAAAGGTTATATTATGAATTATTTTAATATATGTGTCCATAATAAATGTTTTTTCGATTTCTTTATATCCCCTAAGGGGAAGAACAAATAACGTTCTTGAGTTGATTCTGACTCATGGTGACCCATGTGTGTCAGAATAGAACTGTGCTCCACAGGGTTTACAGTGGCTGATTTTTCAGGAGTAGATCACTGTGCCTTTTTTCCAAGGCACCTCTGGGTGGATTCAAGCCTCTAACCTTTCAGTTAGCAGCCAGTTGCATCATCTAGGGCCTTATACCCCCTGAATTTTGATAAAATCAATTTTTCATCTTGTCATTTATATAATGTAATAATTCATTTTATAGTACCTTAATTTATCTCCAGAGTATATTTTACTTAATTTTGAATATAAGGCAATTTAGTAGTAGTTGAAAGGAGTATTTTATACTACAGTATTTTAAAATATCTTTCTTGCTATTTAAATCATCATAGGTATGAATGAAAGTTCGTTTATATCAAAACGTCCTTCTGCTTCTGAAGTAAACAGTGTTAGTCCAAAAAAGCCTAAACCCAGTGAAGGTGTTTCTGGAACAAATACCTCAGTTGCATTCTCTTCAGTAAAATCTACTTCAGTGATATCTCCCCAAGCTATGACATCAAAAGGTAAATGTGAAATCTGGCATTTAAAAGAAAAATGCGGTATTTATACATAAATTTTAAAAAATGTTATTAGTGGTTATATAGGGTTAAAAAATAATTTTGAATCATAAATGTCCTGAATTTATTTTAGGTACAAATACCTCATCAAATCAATCTAAAAATGGAACACCTTTTCCAAGAGCTTGTCCAAAGTGCAATATTCATTTCAATCTTCTGGATCCTTTGAAAAATCACATGAAGGTAAAACTTTTTCAAAATTTAATTTTAAAGAAGTTTGCATATCTCTAAAAATATTCAAACCTGATTTACAGTAAGTACTGGTTTGTCCAAACAGTTAAATAAGAATAATTTATATAAAAATAGACATTCATGATGATTATCTTCATATAATCTTTAAAAATTGCTTTTGAATCATCAAATTTTAAAAATTAAGTTAGGACAGTATATTCTTACATATTTTAATTTAAATGAAAATAATGTATTAATCGGAATTTTTTTTTACCAGATCATACAGTTCTTCAACTTCTTATAAAACAGGCATTTTATTATGTGTTTACTCTTTCATATAAAATTCATTTCTTGTTAAAATTTCTGCTTAACATTTGACTTAAAAGGTTTTAGTAGATATTATAGTATCCTGCTGTGTCTGTGTGAAAATTTTTGTTCTCTGCATGCCCAATGTAAATGGCAGAAAGGTGGAAAGGACACATGAAAAACAGTAATTTAGATTACATGAAGAAATGGCGGCAGGAGCAGGGTATAAAGACAAAGGTAGATTAGGAAAATTTCTTGCTTGTTCTTTAAGAGATTGGCAATTTTTTTTTTTAAATTAAGTATTTTAGGGAAAAAGTAGAAAAGTATAAGGAAGCTCTTTTAAAATTCCAAATACAATTTCCTTATTCATGTACAACACTATATTTGGTCTGTTACTACTTTCAGCTCACAGAGTGTGACCCCTTATAACTGGACTTCTGGTCTGGTCTTAGAATTATTCTCTAACTTTCAGTTTTTTTTTATATCTAGTGTTTTTGTGAGCTACCTGATATTTTTGTTTTGCATTATAGATGGAGAAAAAAGAAGGGACTGAGTTCTTTATTTATCTTTAATTAATTTTAAAAGTCTGTCTCTTACATGCCTACTTCCCAGATGCCTCCCAAAGAAAGTAACTTTTTATAAATTTGTTTTATATCCTCCTTGATTTTCTTTCTGCATGTACAAGTCAACCTGAATGTCCTTATTTCCCCTCTATTTTGTGTAGAAGTTGTAGTATATCATGTCTACAGCATATTTATATTTCTTCTGTATCTGGTGAAAGTGGCAACCATTCTTAAAAATGTAGCTTTTATTTATTGTAGCATTACAATTATTCATATTGGAATCAACCAGAACTTCCATACAGTATTCATGTAATAGGACATTATACAGTATTTAAAAAAAGATATGTAGCTCTCTAATAGATAACATATATTTGAACTAAATTGAATCAAATTATATTAAGTGTTTGAATAATTTATTGTATGTATTTTTTTGTTTTGTTTTGTTTATATCATAAAGAAATCTGAAAAGAATAGTCACCAAATCTAGGAAGGGATCATTAAACTGGAGAATTTTTATCTTTTAGCTAACATGTTTTTATGTATCAGTTAAATTTTTAATAATACTAAGGTAAAGAGTTCCATTTTCTAAAAATGTGATTTTTAGTTTATTTGTGTATGACTTTTTATTGTCATAGATAAGTAGAATATGACTACATCACAAAAGTAATGTTTTCTTTCAATGAAATATTTAAATCATAAATAAAACATCCTATTATAATAACAATTTATTGATCTAAGACTACATGTCAGACATAGTCCTGAACTTTAAGATATTGTTATCATTCATTTAACCCTTAGAACATAATTAGAGGTAGATATTTTTCTCCTTGATTTATAACCAATTCATTGGCATGACTGGGATTCAAACATCAGTCTTTTTGGTAAAGCCCAAGTTCTCACAAATATTTTTTTTTTCCCTTGTGAAAAGTGCATGCATTTGCTTTCGTATATGCCATCAATGAACAGTTGAGAGTTACTGTTAAAAACATACCACCTATGTATTAACACCAAAAATAATGGAATATTTAGGTATAAGTCCAACAATATGTACAATATCTGTATGAGTACAAATAAAAAACTTAGATGAAAAAGATCAAGAAGATCTAAATAAATGGAGAGATTCCATGTTCATAATGTTCATAGATAGGAAGATTTAATGCTATTAAGATGTCGGTTCTTTCTGACTTGATCTGTAGATTCAACAAAATCCTGATCAGAATCTCAACAAGTTATTTTATGATTGACAAGCTGATTCTAAAGTTAGATAGAGAGGTAAAAGATCTGTAATAGTCAACAATCCTAAAAAAGAACAGTTGGGGAGGACTGACGCTACCCCGCTTCAAGAGCTGTAAAGCTATAGCCATCGAAACAGTGTGGTATTGGTGAAAAATAAATAGATCAGTAGAACAGAATAGAGCACCTAGGACTAGACCTACCCAAAATAGTAAACTGATTTTGACAAAGGAGCAAAGGCAATTCAGTTCAATTCGATTTGTCTTTTCAGTAAATGGTGCTGGAAGTACAGATACCACATGCAAAAAAAAAAAAAAAAAAATCTACACATGTTGTTGTGTGCTATTGAGTCAATTCTGATTCTTCACAATCCTTTGTTGTTGTTACGTGCTGTTGAGTCGGACCCGACTAATAGTAACCTCTCCTTGGGTTTCTGACTTGGTATCACTACAAAAGTAGGTTGCCCAACCTTCCTTCCGAGAAGTGGCTGGTAGGTTTGAACCGCCAGACTTCTGGTTAGCAGTCAGGAGCTTTAGGCACTACACTACCAGAGCTCCTTCGGAACCCTGTAAGACAGAGCAAAACTGCCCCTACAGTGTCCTAGGCTGAAATCTTTACAGGTAACGGATTGCCCAGATCATTTCTTCTACATAGCAACTGGTATGTTTGAACCACCAACTTTTCAGTTAGCAGCTGAGCACTCAACCACTGTGCAACCAGGACTTCTTGAATCTAGACATAGTCTTTACATATTTCACAAAAAGTAACTCTAAATGGATTATAAATTTAAATGTAAGAAGTGAAAATATACATCTTCTAGACAATAACAAAGGGGAAAATCTAGGTGACTTTGGGATCGGTAATAACTTTTTAGGTATAACACCAAAAGCACAATCTAGAAAGGGAAAAAAAATTTTGGTAAGTTAGATTTCATTAAAATAAGAACTTCTGTTCTGTAGAAGACACTGTTCACAGAAGAATAAGACAAATGACCGAAGGAGAAAAGATTTCTAAAACATGTACCTGATAAAGCACTTCTATCCAAAATGCACAAAGAACTCTTAAAAGTTAACAAAACAAAACAGCCCAATTACAAACTGGATAAAAGATCTAAGCAGAAATCTCACTAAATAAGATACACTGATGACAAGTATGTATGTGTATATATAAATTCAACATCCTAACTTATTAAATGCCACCAGAGCTCTGGTGGTGTAGTGCCTAAGGCATTTGACTGCTAACCAGAAGGTTGGCAATTCAAACCTACCAGTTACTCTGCAGAAGGAAGACTGAGCAATCTACTTCCATAAAGATTTACCACCTTGGAAACCCAGAGGGGATTGCTGTGAGTCGGAATTGACTTGTTGGCTGTGATGGCTTTTGGTTTTTGGTAAGTCATTAAAACAAAGACAGTGGCTGTAGAATTGATTTTAACTCTGGGTGACCCTATATGTCATTAGGGAATTATAAATCAAAACAACGAGATAACACTACACATCTATTAGGAATGCCTGAAATCCCAAATACTGGCAACATCAAATACTGTTGAGGATGTGGAGCAACTAGAACTGTCATTCATTACTGATTGGAATGCAAAATGTTGTAGCCACTTTGGAAGACAATCTGGCAGTTTCTTAGCTAAACATAAGCTTAAAGTTCGATCCAGCAGTTGCAAGCTTAGCTATTTACCCAGATGAGATGAAAATGAATGTCCAAATAAAAACCTGCATATCAGTGTTTGTTGTTGTTAGGTGCCATCAAGTCGGCTCTGACCCCACGTACAACAGAGTGAAATGCTGCCCAGTCCTGTGCCAGTCTTAAAATTCTTGCTACACCTGAGCCCATCATTGCAGCCACTGTGTCACTATGTCTTGTCGAGAGTCTTCTCCTTTTTTGCTTTCTCCACTTTACCAAGCATGATATCTCTCTCCAAGGAATGTCCCCTTCTGACAACATGACCAGAGTAAGTGAGACAAAGTGTGGCTATTTTTGCTTCCAAGAAGCATTACGACTATACAGGACAGATTTGTTAGTTCTTCTGGCAGTCCATGGTACCTTCAGTATTCTTTGACAACACCACAATTCAAAGGCATCAACTCTTCTTTGGTTTTCCTTATTCATTGTCCAGCTGTCACATGCATATGAGGCTATTGAAAATACCATGGCTTGGGTTAGGCGCACCTTAGTCTTCAAAGAGATGTCTTTGCTCCTCAGCACTTTAAAGAGGTCTTTTGCAGCAGATTTGCCCAGTCCAATACGTCATCTGATGTCTTGACTACTGCTTCCATTGGTGTTGATTGTGGAACCAAATAATAGGAAATCTCTGACAACTTCAATCTTTTCGCCATCCATCGTGAAGCTGTTTATTGGACGAGTTGTGAGATATTTGTTTTCTTTGTATTGAGGTGTAATCTGTACTGCAGCCTGTATATTTGTTTTCTTTGTATTGAGGTGTAATCTGTACTGCAGCCTGTATATTTGTTTTCTTTGTATTGAGGTGTAATCTGTACTGCAGCCTGTATATTTGTTTTCTTTGTATTGAGGTGTAATCTATACTGCAATCTTTAATCTTCACCAGCAAGTGCTTCAAGTCATCCTTACTTTCAGCAAGCAAAGTTGTGTTATCTGTGTATCACAGGTTGTTAATGACTCTTCCTCTAATCCTGATGCCATGTTCTTCATATAATCCAGCTTCTCAGATTATTTGTTCAGTATACAAATTGAGTAAGTATGGTGAGAGGATAAAACCCTGACACACTTCCTTTCTGATTTTAAACCATGCATTATCCCCTTTTTCTTTTTGAACGACAGCCTCCTAGTCTATGTACAAGTTCCTCAAGAGTACAATTAGGTGTTCTGGGATTCCCATTCTTCTCCGTGTTATCCATCATTTGTTATGATCCACACAAT